TTCGGACAGTCATTCAATCTTTCAACCACTTGATTTTTCTGTGTATAAAACGTGGATGATTATAATAGACAAGAAATGTGGATAATAATAGTACCTCCCTATTATCAGTTTGAGCACCATAGTAAGTACATATTACTCCTGAGTTCTCAGATTAAATATTGCTTATTCAGAGGCCCTGATCAGCATTTTTCACTTTTCTCACAATTTGTAATTAAGTATTGTGAGTTTCTTAGCTTAATATCATTTTCCTTTATTAAGCCACACATTTCATGAAGATATACAGGGATCATGCTTGTTTTGTGCCTAGTATACTGCTTACACACAGAGAACGCTGAGTGAATGAATGAGTGATGAATGAGTAATAGGTGGGTTTTTTGTTTGTTCGTTTTTGTTTTGAAGCAGAGTCTCACTATGTCACCCAGGAAGGAGTGCAGTGGTATGATCTCCGCTCACCGCAACCTCCGCCTCCTGGTTTCAAGCTAGTCTGGTGCCTCGGCCTCCCAAGCAGCGGGGACTAAAGGTGTGTGCCACCACACCTGGCTAATTATAGTAGAGACAGGGTTTCATTATGTTGGCCAGGCTGGTCTTAAACAACTGGCCTCAAATGATCCGCTCACCTCGACCTCCCAAAGTGCTGGGATTACAGGCGTGAACCACCGCGCACAACCTCCTTTGCCTTTCTTTTGCCACAACCAAATAGTGTTTTTTACAGTTGCCTGATAAATTCATTCATGCTAGATTCCTAGAGACCCTTTGTTTAGATCGCAAGAGAGGCTGCATGGAAAAGAATTTTCTAAAAATAACTGCAAACTATTCTGTAACTGATTGATGCTATTACTACCATCTGTGCATAAAAAGAGAGTAGACTGCCTGCAACCCACAGAAACAGAAACTCAGTGGGCTCAGGGACCAGCCCAAGGGGTGGTGAGGAAGTTTTCTGGGAGCTCAGAGCTCCTACAAAACAACCTCCTAAAATTCTGCCAGGTGTGAGACTATTATGCCTGAGAACCAGACTTGCCCTAACCACAGGAACTGGTTCTGTTGCTACAAACATCCACTTCACGTTCTTCCCTCAGGCACCTTCTTTAGCTTGTCTCACCCTGCTGCTGCTCCTTCCTCCCCCACATTCTACTTCCATTTTGGAGTGTAGTTTAAACTACCTGCTCTGACTGTGACTTCTTAAATCCACTTGCACCTTTTTTGGTCTTCTGTCTCTCAGAAAGAAATTAAATGTAGGCGCGACCTGCTTTAAGGTACTTAGATATCCCCAACAGATCAAAATCCTGATTAATTTTTTTATATGATGAAAGAGTTTTTCAATAAAATTTACAGCAGAAATTCTTTAAGTAACACCTGCTCATTCGTGCATTTTAAATCTGATTTGATGAATAAATGTTTAAGGTATGCACAAATTTGCAAAGAAACATTTATTGTGCATAACCAGTACCTTCAACGATCCTGTGAATTCATATCATAGCATTCACAGAAGTGGGCTTTTACAGCTTATGAGGCAAACTAAATAGTGGAAAACAAATGAGAAAATATTGTTTTGTGTATACATCATCAAAATGAACAGTCTTAAACCAATAGGACTGTTGAATTTTAAGACAGAGAGAGCCACAAAACTCAATCCAGAGAGATACTTTTTCCTTCTTCCTGCTTTATTCAGCAAGCTGTAGCCAATCTGCTAATCACATAGAAATCTAAATCCCTCCTGTGGAAAAATAAACATGGGCACAACCCAAATAAGTTCCATGTGTAAAATCCCTTTGGCTAATTTACACAAGCAACTTCCCTTACACATTTTGGGAAAAGTCAGCTTTAAAATGTCTTCTTCTCCTTCCTAACTACTCTTGTTCTAACCTTATGTAATTCTCATGAAGGCGACTTAAATAATCATCCTTCATTTTGAGTTTAGCAAGTACAATGAGAAAACATCCGTTTTCTATTTGCTACATAGTTCTGCCCTCTGTAGGTAAGAGAGCAAACTTCTCAGAGAGTCTCTTATTGAAAGGTTAGATTTTGTTGAACCAACATGTGTACAGTTTTGTGACCCCTTTATTTCTTGCAAATTTTAAAGAGGTTTCCTTCTTTCTTTTTTCTTTTTGTTTGGTCTTTAGTCCCAAGTGAATGTGCAGATTTCTGGTCTAATTCTAACATTATGCCATTGCAGAGAGGAAAGGAAAGATTATTGCAATAAGAAGACAAGTGTGCTGCTACTTACTGTCCTTAAGTATGTTCAAGTAAAACTGATTCCTTCAAAAATAATAATCTAATAAATTTGCAGTTCTAAAACCTTTGCTAGTAGTTGTTAACTTGAAAGTCTGACAAAAACATAAAGGTATAAGAGAAACATTTTAAGACCTGATAGAAGTGAGAGATAACTCTGCCATGCTTAATATTTTGAACACATAGAAGTTTGTATTCTGTATTTTCCATGTTTACATTTCTTTTGAAGAAAAAGAAAATAACTGTATAAAACCCAATGTTTAATAGTTTCTTTGGGCAGGGCACAGAGGCTCATGCCTGTAATCCCAGCACTTTGGGAAGCCGAGGAGTGTCAATCACTAGTGCCCAGGAGTTCAAGACCAGCCTGGGCAACATGGTGAAAACTCGTCTCTACCAAAAATTGAAAAAAAAAGAAAAGAAAAGCCAGAAGTGGGCATGTGCCTGTAGTCCTAGTGACTAGGGAGGCTGAGGTGGGAGACTGGCTTGAACCTGGGAGGTGGACGTTGCAGTGAACCGAGATGGCCCCACTGTACTCCAGCCTGGGTGACAGAGTGAGAACATGTCTCAGGAAAAAAGAAAAAGAAATTTCTTTAAAACACAACTAACTTTTTCATGTTATTCTTCATATATAGTCTCCCTTTATATTCACAAAACCCTATGCATGGGTAAGACAATTATTATACAACATCCGTGTGTTTCTGATATGCAAATAGAAACTCAGTAGGCTCAATGACCAGCCCATGGTCATCCATCCACAACATGGGAATCCTGGGATTGATATTCATGTCTTGAACTACCCTGATTCCTTTTCAACTTCTCTACTTCTTCAACAGGGTGTTATGATGTAAGTTATACACATACACACACACACACACGTATATATATATACACACACACACACTTGTATATATACGTATATTTGCAATATATACGTGTATATATGTATATTTGTAATATATATGTGTGTATATATATATAACTTTATATATATTACTTTAAGTTCTGAGCTAAACGTGCAGAATGTGCAGGTTTGTTACATAGATATACATGTGTCATGGTGGTTTGCTACACCTATTACCCCATCATCTAGATTTTAAGCCCCGCATGCATTACGTATTTGCCCTAATGCTGTCTCTCCCCTTGCCCCCGACTCCCGACTGGCCCCAATGTGTGATGTTCCTCTCCCTGTGTCCATGTGTTGTCACTGTTCAGCTCCCACTTATGAGTGAGAACATGTGGTGTTTGGTTTTCTGTTCCTGGATTAGTTTGCTGAGAATGATGGTTTCCAGCCTCATCCATGTCCCTGCAAAGGACATGAACTCATTCTCTTTATATGGCTCCATAGGATTCCATGGTGTATATGTGCCACATTTTCTTTATCTAGTCTCTTATTGATGGGCATTTGGATTGGTTCCAAGTCTTTGCTATAGTAAATAGTGCTGCAATAAACATATGTATGCATGTGTCTTCATAGTAAAATGATTTATAATCCTTTGGGTATATAACCAGTAATGAGATTGCTGGGTCAAATGGTATTTCTGGTTCTAGATCCTTGAGGAATAGACACACTGTCTTCCACAGTGTTGAACTAGAAATTAATATTTAATCAATCTGCAAGATATAGCTTTGGAAACATATTTGAATACCTATTTCCAGAAGACAGAATTTAAAGTTTCATATAAATATAAGCTAATGGACCCTTTAGAAAATTTAGAAACAGGTAAAAGAAATGAAGGTAATGTGTAGTTATATTCCATTTACGTAGAAGATGGAAAGTGATGCACAAGAGAAACAGAAGATAAGGCAAGCCAGGTTATTCACAGAAAATATAAAACTGGCTGAGGAAATTTTGAGTTTATGCAAAGACACAGAATACCAAAATGCGCATGCAAACATGCAAATAAAAATTGGTTCTTGAAGGAATATGAAGTGCAGAGGGTAATATGTAAACATTGAGGATGAAGACAGTATGTGAGAACAAAATAATGTATTTTGAGACTGTTATGGACTGAATATTTGTGTCCCCTCTGAATTTGTGCAGTAAATCCCTAATCTCCAAGGAGGCAGAATTTGGAGATGTGGCCTCTAAGGAAGCAATTAAAGTTAAATAGATTTATAAGGGTAGGGCCCTCATCTGATAGGATTAATGGTCTAGTGCAGTGGTCCCTAACCTTTTTGGCACCAGGGACCAGTTTCTTGGAAGACAATTTTTCCACTGACTTGTGGGGGATGGTTTGGGGATGAAACTGTTCCACCTCAGATCATCAGGCATTAGATTCTCATAAGGAGCACGCAACCTAGATCCCTCACATGTGCAGTTCACAGCAGGGTTTGTGCTCCTGTGAGAATCTGTTACCACAGCTGATCTGACAGGAGGTGGAGCTCAGTGAGTGATGCTGGTTCACCTGTCACCTGCCACTTACCTCCTGCTATGCAGTCTGGTTCTTAACAATCCATGGATTGGTACCAGTTCACAGCCAGGGGGTTGGGGACCCCTGTTCTAGCATTCTTTTTTTTTTTTTTTTTTTTTTTTTGAGACAGAGTCTGGCTCTGTAGCAAGACTGGGGTGCGGGAGCACAATCTAAGTTCACTGCAACCTCTGCCTCCAGGGTTCAAGTGATTCTCCTGCCTCAGCCTCCTGAGTAGTTGGGATTACAGGTAGACACTTCACCACACCCAGCTAATTTTTTTGTATTTTTAGTAGAGATGGGGTTTCACCATGTTGGCCAGGATGGTCTCGATCTCTTGATCTCGTGATCCGCCCGCCTTGACTTCCTAAAGTGCTGGGATCACAGGAGTGAGCCGCCGCGCCCGGCCTCTACCATTCTTATAAGGGGAGACGTGGGAGTGTTGGCTTGAATGTGTTCACGTGCTCGCTTTCTCTCTCTCTCTCTCTCTCTCTCTCTCTCTTTCTCTCTCTCACTCTCTGTCCTCCCCGCCACCCCTTAGACAAACACATATACACACAAAAGAAGTCATGTGAGCACATAGTCAGAAGGTGAGAAGTTGGCCATCCACAAGCCAGGAAGAATCCTTTCACCAGAAACTGAATTTATCAGCATCTTGATCTTGGACTCTCCAGTTTCCAGAACTGTGAGAAAATACATATTTTTTCATTATTTGATTACATTAATGTGTTAACTGTAGCATATTATATAACATGTAAAACGTATATAGAAGCGTAGTATGTTAGTATGTTATAAAAATAGTATTTTTTTCTTTTATCGTCTTTTACCTTTTATATTTTAGTTTTGGGGGTACATGTGCAGGTTTGTTATATGGGCTTATCAGGTAATACTGGGGTTTGGGCTTCCGTTGAACACATCACACAAACAGTGAACCAGAAAACACATTTCTGTTTCCTGATGAATTATTTATTGTTGAAACGACCCAATCTGTGGTATTTTGTTACAGCAGCCAGAGTAGACAGAGGCTGCAGTTGTGTTCAATACTAAGCTTTAGGTTTACTTAAAATACAAGTTCTAACATTTTTATTAAGTAATCTGTTCAATATTTGTAACTACCAAGAAGCAAAGCTAATGATGTCTACTTAAATGTGTTTCATGTTTAAAGTATCTATTTCATTGTTAATATGTAAAACACGTTTTTAATTTCCCTTATGTGTAATCTATGCATCTCTTGAGGGGTTTCCTTGTCTACCCATTATTCCTTCATTTTGCCTTATTGCTGACCCAGAATGTATGCAGTAGATGAACTAATGTATTAATCTCTTTTACAAGACTTTGAAGACTGCTTTAATTCTAAACAGCTTAAATAAAATGGGGATAACACTCCACAAATGTTTCTCCATTATCATACCTAGCAAGCCTAGCTAGTCGACAAGCTGTGCTCTACAGATACACACAGAAAAACTGAAATTCTACAGAGAGCAGTAAGTAAACTTTTGAATACTGAGTAACTGAAACTGCCATTTCCATAAAATTATGGCATTGTATCTGATCTTTAGTATTTGTAATAGGATAGCCTTCAGCTTATTTGACAAAGATCCTCTGAAGTGAATTTATTGTGTGTAATTTATTCTAGACCATGAATGAATTAACTTACCTTTGAGCCTTTCTTGGATATGAAACCAAAAGGAAACATAGCCATTTAAGGATCTTAGTTCAATAAAAGCTCCCAAATGCAAAATTCAGCATTCTGGGTCACTATGTGGATTTAAAACATCCCTTGGGGATCTTTAGATCTATAAAGCAATCATCTGATTACTCTTATCCATTTATGCTATTTTCCCTCATGCATCTGGGGTTTTAATTGGCTTTTTATCTTGTATTGACTATTTGATAGGACCATAATTGTTCTTTTTTAATTTAGTAATTATATCGTAAGATTCTATTAAAAGCAAATTTCAGTTAACTCTGTAAGAACTACATAGAAAAGTGATGGGAATTAAAAGGGCATTTTAAAAAGTGGAACAAAAGATAAAGTACCAGTCATGGAATCTCTTAAGAGTGAAATTTGGAGTTCCTTCCTTTAGTGTATAGAGGCTGGTGTTTCAGCTGAATTTATCATCCAATTCCTATAACAGTTTCAAATATATTAGTCTCTTGTGATGTAAATGATTATCTAGTTAAAATTCTGAAAATAATTTCACAGACACTTGGATAGAAAATATAATAAATATTATTAGAGCTCAGACATTCTTTCACATGAATACATTTTAAAATAGAATAATAGGTATATGGTTTAAAATACAGACTCTAGCCCTCTCTTCTTTAGAAAGGGGAAGTCTCCCCTCAAGCTACTTAATGACATTGACCAATGAGTATAAGTGATTAATTCTTAAAAAGAAGAAAAACTGGTATCTGTTTTTTATTTCATTTCTTTGGAGAGGGCAGTCATTAAAATGCAAACAACTTTGGTTTAATTTGATAATATATTTGAACCATAAGATATGTGCATATTTTAAATTGCCATGCTTAAAAAAATGATTAGTTGTCATATAAGCTGACATTTGCTACACAAGCATTGACCACATGTAAAATACTTTAATGGTTATGCTATTTACTTTCAGAACTTAGTCTTTTGTAGAAATGCTGCATTTCAAAATCGAGATTGTTTTATTTTTGCCATTCAAAAAAATTCTGTAATCTAGAAGTTATTTTTCCTTGACTCTAAGTTGGAATAATAGTTGGACTTATATTCCATTTTTTCTAATTCATATTAACTAAATGAATACAATCAGACTTTAGCTTTGGGCAATGGACTTTAGCATGTATGTTTTTATTCTTACTGAATATACTTAAATTAAGTTTTCTCAATAAAATTTTGCATTTGTCCATCCTTTTACTTATTTATTCAACATTTATTCAGTGCCAGCTATGTACAAAACATAGTTCTAAAAAATCACAGGGAAGACAAAGTTTGTGTCTTCAAATCTACTACGGAAAATCAGGTAGCCAACAAACACCCACATTATAAAGGAGGGTGAATCAAATGGCTTAACTGGATTTGAATCTAGAGAGATATGGAAAAGATGCCTCTTATTTGGAGAGTCATAAGAAACCTCACAGTGTTCTGTGCATTATGAAGACATACAGATTGGCAACTCAATAGTTAGATGAGAAAAAGATAGACAGAGTTGGGAAGAGGAGGAAGGGCAAGCAAGCAGTGCTAGAAAAACTGAGTCTGCATTGGCATGGACTCCAAAAAATGACTAGCAGCCAAAGGGGACGGATGGAAATCGATAATTCTTAATGTATGATGGGATTTTTACTATTTATTAGACAGAAGAGTGGACATCCATGCCAGTTCCAGAGCAATAGCCAAAGGCCCAGTAAGGAAAATATCTATTGGTTAATTCTAATGCCCAGAGTTGAAATAGTCACCAGTCAGTGGCCCTGAAGATAATTACATACTCTATTTTCTGCAGATAAATTCGATGCTTCTCAGGTCCCCAGTCAAGATTGCATCTCAGATGATGGCCAGGTAAGAAGTTTCCAAGGCGACCTTAGTCAAGTGTACTGGAAATATCCCTGGAGGAGATGAGAAAGCTAATATCTGTAGACAGGTCAATGGAATAGCAATGGACTCAGTCCTCACTATATTAACGATGTTAAGATTTTGAAGAGTAGGAAACAAAACCCGTGAATTTAACTGCTTAATACACACTACCAGATAATGATATAATTAGATCTTAAACCTGTTTTGGGCAACAGAAGGCTTGAGTTTAAAGTCTAGTTTTATTATTTCCTAGTTGTGTGACATTAAGCAATTAACTTAGACCAGGTTTGGGTCTGAGTACCACGAACATGCCTAGAAGTTAGAGGCCAGGTGTTACCTATAGGACTGAAGGATTTTTCTTGCTGTCATAGTCAGTATCTACATTGTACATCATTTCCAATCCGTGTAACCTGACTAAGTTTAAATAACTAAAGTGTGCTATTTGAATATATTGCTGCACTATTTACAGTATTTTTAAAACCTCTTAATTTTTGAGTTTACACAATTCATTTTTGAGCCATTCAATCCATTGGAAATCATGTAAAAAGTACACAAATTGCCTTATTTCCCAAACCTCTTCATACTATATGACACTACTCGCATCTAATTACTAATGCAGGGTCAGGTGGAGGCTAGCATTCGGACTAGGCATCTACAATGCTTGTTTTCAGAAGTCTTTGTCCCTTAAGATCTTTATGTTTTCTGAATAATTCTATTTCCATAATTTAATCATCTCTTCCGTGTTAGAATGAAAATATATGATGGGTAGTGATATGGTTTGGCTGTGTCTCCACCCAAATCTTGTCTTGAATTGTAGCTCTCGTAATTCCCATGTGTTTTGGGAGGGACCTGGTGGGAGGTAATTGAATCATGGGGGCAGGTCTTTCCTGTGCTGTTCTCATGATAGTGAATAAGTATCAGAATATTTTATGGTGTTATTTCCCTGCACGCACTCTCGGGCCTGCCATCATGTAAGACGTGCCTTTGCTCCTCATTCACTCTCCACCGTGACTGTGAGGCCTCCCCAGCCATGTAGAACTGTAGTCAAGTAACCGTCTTTCCTTTATAAGTTACCCAGTCTTGGGTATCTCTTTATTAGCAGCATGAGAACCGACTAATACAGGTAGTATTTTAAAGGTAGTAAAAAGGCGTTTGATAGTCCTTTTCAAACTTATCTGTGAGGAGGGCACATGATAGGAAGGAGTGAATGAAGATATTGTCTCCAAGGAAACCAAGAAAAGAACGAGATGTAAAGTTTCTTCTCCTACCACTTCAACTTTCACTTATATAATAATAGAAACGCATACACACAACCACGGCACTGTTTGGGGAAAATAAAAATACACAATTAGATAATTAAGCAAATATATAGCAGAGTTCTAAAATAGTAAAGTAATTAAAAAGTGAACCAAGTGAAGAAGGCAAGTTTTTCAAGCCGCTGAGAAACGTGACACCTGTTTATTGTATTTGTGACCTTTAAAAATACATTCTTTCCATCTTTATGTGGTGGCCCCCCTAATTTATTAAAAATACATTCTTTCCATCTTTATGTGGTGGCCCCCCTAATTTATTAAAAAAGAAAAAAAGACACACAACGCTTTCAAATACATGTCAAGCCGTATTTAAAGATGTTATTTAATCTGTTGCCAGCGTATTAAAAAGTTCATTATTCGGACACCTAAAGTGTTCTGGCATAAGTTAAAAATTTAACAGCTTTTCTCCAATAATTTCTTGACAGAATATTACATTTTACAAATAATACAATCCTGCCAAGTATCTTTGAGGAAACAGCAAGGGGATTTAAATGTTCTACTTCTACAATTATTTGAACACGAAATGATTTTCAGTAGTATTTGGAGAGCTAACTGAGCAACGAACAGAAAAACCATTTCACAACCACTTTCCATTAGTAGAATTGCAACTTCTTTATTGTAAAATATTACCTTCCACTTTCTTTCTAAATAATTCATTCGATGTAGCTTTGGCCTAATATTTATGTTTATCCTCTTCATTATACACAGTGTCATATGTTATTTTGACCGCAGTTTCACTTCGTAATTCATCAGAGTTTGCACTAATGGAGAAAGGTGGTCATTAGGGACCGCCAAGAACTGCTCCTGCTATATCTCTCTAGCTAGAGCCTAACTGCTCGTGTTCCGTGCATTCCAGCCACCCTTTATTGTCCACTTAATTTCGTGTATGAGTGATAGGGTCTTGCTAGCACATCAGAGACGATAAACCTAAAAATATTTTGAATGTTTACAACTTGATAATCCAAATATGTACACAAAGGACTTGACTCTCTTAATTAAGCAGATGAGCAGAGTGGCACGACAAAGGTAAAACACTGGTTAATTGGAATGGTAGTCCTCATGTTCTTGCTCATGCAAGTCCCTCAACACCCCTCCAACCTCTACCCCCACCACTGTCCCTTTTTATCCTCCAATATATATACTCAGCATTTTTATTACAGGGAAAGCAAATATTTGATGTTCTTTTAAGTTATGCGTTTGTGTAAGACACACACTAAATCTGTCACTCCCACTGTCACACATTCTCTCTCTCTCTCTCTCCCCCTCTCTCACTCTCTCTCTCTCTCTCTCTCTCTACTCTGTCCACTTTAGGCCTTAACCAGGGCTTCCCTAATAACTGTTCAGAAGTAACTAGTCTGGGAAACTCTCTTTTCCCACGGTGCCAGCCTCCTCCATGGGCCTGTCTTCCTGTGCCCCACGCTGCAGTGCCTGCAGCACGTTTGCCTTCCTGGCAGCACTTTCTATTCAGCATTCCCCCCACCCTGTCAAAACTTACTGCTTCTGTGCTTTAATCCCTCAGGCTGTCATTCTTTGTTCATCTTATCCATAAATTCATATGATAGGATGTGGAATCCATGACTGCTTCATATAGATACACGATTTGTATTTTTGCAAGAGTTTACTAAATTTTATTCTCAAACATGGATAAATAAAATAGTTTATTTAGCTCTTCCACTCTTTTTCTCTGTAGAATTATGTTATTTCTTGAAACTCAGTATAGGCCCCCTTGGAGGAGCGCTTTTATTATTTTCCTAGTTTTAAATTGCATACATTAAGCTTTATATTTTCATGCCTTTACACCTTATATGCTCAGAAGAGAAGTAAACTTTTCCAAGAAACAACTATTGGTAATAGACTTTTCCATCTCTCACATCATATAACATGATACTTTGGTGTGTAAAACAACGAAAGAGCAATGGGACAGGGAAAGGCTGAGCATCAGTTTCAGCTCTGCCTCTTCCTGTGTAACCCTGAGCAAGCGAATCGCCCTGGAGCTTCACATTTCTCATTGCAAAGCGAGTTTAATAGTGCCTTCACTAACTATTGGCGAGGTCAGATAGTCACAAATGTTTCCCTCTGTGCTCTGAAGACACTAGATCAACGTAAGTTGAATTAATATAATAGATTCTCCATAAATCATTTAAGTTTTTGGAGGGTAAGGTTAGCTAGTGGAACATTACACCTGTACACTACACAGGTACCTCTAAGTCAGCTCTTTACAGATAAGGAAAATGTGGTCTAAAAGAGTGAAAATGTTATTTCAAGACAAGATATTAAGGCTTGACTGTGGTAGTTATTGCTCTCGATTGCATTTTCATGCTCTCTCCATGAAATAATGTATTCCATTCTTGCCACGTTTCCATGGCCAGCAGAGTGGAGTTCCTTGCTTATTTGGGCTTGGTCATGTGGCTTTCTTTAGCCAGGAGTATGTTGGAAAACTTAACATCAGCACAAGATTAAATGTAATTCTCAATTTGGGTGTGATCACTATTGCTCTTACAATGTCCATGAGTTAGTTGATCATGTCTGGTAGACATTGTCCCTTCAGGTCAGAACCAGGATGAAACGATATAAGTATACCTGATGATGGGCGCCAAACCTAAAGATACTTCAATTGGATCACATTAATATCCCTTACAACAAAATTCCCATTTACCTTGTGATCTGAAACACCTTAAGGCTACACTTTTGGACTTATATCGTCATTCACGCTTGTAGAATTGTTCATAATGTGGCTGAAAATAATAGTGTCTCTTGTAAGGTAATAGCGTAAGATAAGGCTATGTTTGTATTCATTTTTATTAAACATCTAATACTTTCATAGGAATTAATGCCATTTACTGTATGTTATACCAGTGGCTTTTAAAAAGTGTTACCACCAGGCCACAAAATTCAGCCTCACTTGGATATTTATAGAAATACAAAACGTTGAGCCCCATTGCAGACCTACTGACACTACAGTACCAGCGGTGAGTTCTGTAATTTGGTTGTAGCAAGCCCTCAAGATGATTCTGATGCATGCTAATGTTTAACACTGTATTATGTAACTATTTATTTAATTATTCATTTACTACAACAAAAACTGTGCCCATATGTTCCAATACAAATCCTGGTTAGCACTGTAATGCATTCCTGCTTCTTTTAATTTGTTTCCTGTAGATTCGTCACATAATTATTCTAACCCTTCCGATTTTCTCCATTTCTCAATCTCATTCTATTACTCCATGCATCATGTGAGCTCCTTTCAACTTTCATTGAGAATAAAAGGGAATTCCTTTCTCTTCCAGGTTTGTCACTCAATATGTTACTTTTCCTACACCTACTCTTTACTCTTTTCCTTCAATTATAGGAAAGGATTGTCATTTTTCTTTATAGAACTCCGTATTTCCCAGGATTATACGGTTAATCTCTCTATGCAAGTGGCTGGGGTATCCTCTTTTTCCCTTGTCTATTCCTCCCAACTTGCAAATGTATAAAATGGGGAAAAATGATCAAGCCTGCTAACTTTCTAGCTACCAAGTCATCAGCACCCATTGCTTTAATATTTTACCATTAACTCAAAATTCTTTGCTATGTAATGTCTAACCCTATTATAATCTTGCAATTTTGAACAATCTCCACTGAGATTCCTGATGAAGATTATGGTCACTTTTAGTTTGCATTTTGCTAACCTTTTCTCAGGTAATTTTAATTTATGTGGTAGATTAATATGGTAACCTACTATATTGTTTGAAAATATGGTAGATTGATTCCATTGATGGTCCAAATTAATGACTTCCTATGTTGTATCCTATCCAATGTGACTGTGATGGCTTCCATCAAGAGCTGAAGTCTATTTTCTCATCCCTTAAATCTAGGCTGGCCTTGTGACTCACTGGGACTAATAAAAGGTGGCAGAATTGACGGTGTGCCAGTTCTGAGTCAAGCCTGTAGAAGCTTTGAACCCTTATGCTTGCTGTCCTGTAATCCTGCCTCTACAATGAGAACAAGACTGTACTGTGCTATCTTGAGTGAGAAGCACTCAAGATCATGTGGAACTGAGACTGAGATGCTACTAGACTAGCCAGCTTTCAGCACATCCTCCATTTGACTGCAGATATGTGAGTGAGCCCAGCTGAATCATGGCAAAATGTGCCTAGACCAGTAGAGAGAGCAAGACTCTCTCTAGACTTTGGTAAAATAAGAAATGCAGCTGGGCGCGATGGCTCACGCCTGTAATCCCAGCACTTTGGGAGGCTGAGGCGGGCGGATCATGAGGTCAGGAAATCGAGACTATCCTGGCTAACATGGTGAAACCCTGTCTGTATTAAAAATACTAAAATTATCTGGGCATGGTGGCTGGTGCCTATAATCCCAGCTACTTGGGAGGCTGAAGCAGGGGAATCACTTGTATCCGGGAGTTGGAGGTTGCAGTGAGCCGAGACCACGCCATTGCTCTCCAGCCTGGAGACAGAGTAAAACTCTGTCTCAAAAAAAAAGAAAGAAAGAAAAAGAAGAGAAATGCTCATTATAAGCCATAAGTTTTAGTATAATTTATGATGCAAAAATAGCTGACTAATTTAAAAGTAAAACTGTTTTCTGTAGCATAATTCTTGGCAATAGTTGTCACTATCACTGTTTTTCCATCCCTGTAAACTGTGGCAAGTTATTATGCATGTATTGAGCTGCCACTTCCTATGTTAGTTTTGTTTTGTAGCATCATTATTAGCCCTAAAGTCTTACCTAAACTCTAGCCTAGTGTATTGGAACTGCATTTAGATTACGGTCAGGCTCCAATAACAGAGCTTAAGGCAAATTTGTAGAGTCAACATCATGTTTGAAACTTTATTAGTTTTCCTACAGAAAACTCATAGTTTCACATGTAAAATGCTATATATGTGTAGGTATAAATATATAATTACAGTAATATGCATGTTATCAAGGGTACATATTCCAGATAAAATTTTGTACATCTTTTCAAATTTAATATATTTGAAATGGAACTTAATATTTTCTCCAAATACTCTGGCTGCCTATATCCCTACCATCATATTTTCTCATTTTTCACAATCATTTTCTAATCTTTAATCCATCTTTTATATTTACTTAGATATCTTTAATCTCCATTTCTATTGCCACCAGTCTAGTCTAACTGTTATCACCTAACACCTGAATTATTGAATCTTTCATCAGGGATGAAGATAAAGCATGATCATCAAAACAGATCTTATATTACATTGAATAAATAGGTAGCACTTTGAATGACACAATCAGGATGCTATACTCCATTCTCTTTTCCTGAACATTGAAAAGTTAGCAATGAATTGAAACTCTCAAAAATAAACTTTATTAAGAATATTTTTTTTAAAGTGCACTTAATTTTTATAAACCTACTGTACAACTTATAATTTAAAAAGCTAGTACATTAATTTTGTATCCTGAGACTTTGCTGAAGTTGCTTATCAGCTTAAGCAGATTTCGGGCTGAGATGATAGAGTTTTCTAAATATATAACCATGTCATCTGCAAACAGGAACAATTTGACTTCTTCTTTTCCTAACTGAATACTCTTGATTTCTTTCTCTTGCCTGATTGCCCTAGCCAGAACTTCTATCACTATGTTGAATAGGAGTGGTGAGAGAGGGCATCCCTGTCTTGTGCCAGTTTTCAAAAGGAATGCTTCCAGTTTTTGCCCATTCAGTATGATATTGGCTGTGGGTTTGTCATAAATAGCTCTTATTATTTTGAGATATGTTCCATCAATACAGAATTTATTGAGAGTTTTTAGCATGAAGGGCTGTTGAATTTTGTCAAAGGCCTTTTCTGCATCTATTGAGATAATCATGGGGTTTTTGTCTTTGGTTCTGTTTATATGCTGGATTATGTTTATTGATTTGCGTATGTTGAACCAGCCTTGCATCCCATTCCAGGGATGAAGCCCACTTGATCATAGTGGATAAGCTTTTTGATGTACTGCTGGGTTCGGTTTGCCAGTATTTTATTGAGGATTTTTGCATCGATGTTCATCAGGGATATTGGTCTAAAATTCTCTTTTTTTGTTGTGTCTCTGCCAGGCTTTGGTATCAGGATGATGTTGGCCTCATAAAACGAGTTAGGGAGGATTCCCTCTTTTTCTATTGATTGGAATAGTTTCAGAAGGAATGGTACCAGCTCCTTGTACCTCTGGTAGAATTCAGCTGTGAATCCATCTGGTCCTGGACTTTTTGTGGTTGGTAGGCTATTAATTATTGCCTCAATTTCAGAGCCTGCTATTAGTCTATTCAGGGATTCAACTTCTTCCTGGTTTAGTCTTGGGAGAGTGTAAGTGTCCAGGAAATTATCCATTTCTTCTAGATTTTCTAGTTAATTTGTGTAGAGGTGTTTATAGTATTCTCTGATGGTAGTTTGTATTTCTGTGGGGTCGGTAGTGATATCCCCTTTATCATTTTTTATTGCATGTATTTGATTCTTCTCTCTTTTCTTCTTTATTAGTCTTGCTAGCGGTCTATCAATTTTGTTGATCTTTTCAAAAAACCAACTCCTGGATTCATTGATTTTTTGGAGGGTTTTTTGTGTCTCTATCTCCTTCAGTTCTGCTCTGATCTTATGTGCAAAAATCACAAGCATTCTTATACACCAGTAACAGACAAACAGAGAGCTAAATCATGAATGAACTTCCACTCACAATTGCTTCAAAGAGAATAAAATACCTAGGAATCCAACTTACAAGGGATGTAAAGGACCTCTTCAAGGAGAACTACAAACCACTGCTCAGTGAAATAAAAGAGGATACAAACAAATGGAAGAACATACCATGCTCATGGATAGGAAGAATCAATATCGTGAAAATGGCCATACTGCCCAAGGTAATTTATAGATTCAATGCCATCCCCATCAAGCTACCAATGAGTTTCTTCACAGAATTGGAAAAAACTGCTTTAAAGTTCATATGGAACCAAAAAAGAGCCCACATTGCCAAGACAATCCTAAGTCAAAATAACAAAGCTGGAAGCATCATGCTATCTGACCTCAAACTATACTACAAGGCTACAGTAACCAAAACAGCATGGTACTGGTACCAAAACAGAAATATAGATCAATGGAACAGAACAGAGCCCTCAGAAATAATACCACACATCTACAGCCATCTGATCTTTGACAAACCTGAGAAAAACAAGAAATGGGGAAAGGATTCCCTATTTAATAAATGGTGCTGGGAAAATTGGCTAGCCATAAGTAGAAAGCTGAAACTGGATCCTTTCCTTACTCCTATACAAAAATTAATTCAAGATGGATTAGAGACTTAAATGTTAGACCTAATACCATAAAAACCCTAGAAGAAAACCTAGGTAATACCATTCAGGACATAGGCACGGGCAAGGACTTCATGTCTAAAACACCAAAAGCAATGGCAACAAAAGCCAAAATTGACAAATGGGATCTAATTAAACTAAAGAGCTTCTGCACAGCAAAAGAAACTACCATCAGAGTGAACAGGCAACCTACAGAATGGGAGAAAATTTTTGCAATCTACTCATCTGACAAAGGGCTAATATCCAGAACTTACAAAGAACTCAAACAAATTTACAAGAAAAAAACAAACAACCCCATCAAAAAGTGGGCAAAGGATATGAACAGACATTTCTCAAAAGAAGACATGTGTACAGCCTACAGACACATGAAAAAATGCTCGTCATCACTGGCCATCAGAGAAATGCAAATCCAAACCACAACAAGATACCATCTCACACCAGTTAGAATGGCAATCATTAAAAAGTCAGCAAACAACAGGTGCTGGAGAGGATGTGGAGAAATAGGAACACTTTTACACTGTTGGTGGGATTGTAAACTAGTTCAACCATTATGGAAACAGTATGGCGATTCCTCAAGGATCTAGAACTAGAAATAACATATGACCCAGCCATCCCATTACTGGGTTTATACCCAAAGGATTATAAATCATGCTGCTATAAAGACACATGCACACATATGTTCATTGCGGCACTTTTCACAATAGCAAAGACTTGGAATCAACCCAAATGTCCATCAGTGACAGACTGGATTAAGAAAATGTGGCACATATACACCATGGAATACTATGCAGCCATAAAAATGGATGAGTTTGTGTCCTTTGTAGGGACATGGATGCAGCTGGAAACCATTCTTAGCAAACTATCGCAAGAACAGAAAACCAAACACCGCATGTTCTCACTCATAGGTGGGAACTGAACAATGAGATCACTTGGACTCGGGAACGGGAACATCACACACCAGGGCCTATTATGGGGAGGGGGGAGGAGGAAGGGATTGCATTGGGAGTTATACCTGATGTAAATGACGAGTTGATGGGGCTGATGAGTTGATGGGTGCAGCACACCAACATGGCACAAGTATACATATGTAACAAACCTGCACATTATGCACATGTACCCTAGAACTTAAAGTATAATAATAAAAATATAAAAATAAAAAAATAAAAATAAAAAATAAAAAGCTAGCAAGAAGAAATAGAGGTGGAAATAGTGATAAAGTTATAATGAAGGAAAAATCAATGAGTGTATCTGGCTAACACATAGAATTTGTGTAGGGAAGCATTTGGAATATAAATTTTCACAGAGGTGACAGGACAAGATATTCAAGAGTCTTGAATGCTGGGCTAAAGACAGACAACTATTACATTATAATAGATGCTGCTAATTAATTTAAATATTTTTCTGGTGAAATAATCTGATAATATTGAATAAATCTTTTAGATATGAGGTGGGACCTAATGTTCCCTAGGCTAGATGCTGTTAAAAATTAAGTTGAAGGTATGATTCTTAATAATGGTACTTTTTGTAACATTTTCTCTTAGACATTTGACCATTGAACTAAATCTTGTTATAGTCTCAATTTACATCCTGAAGTTTTTGGCCAATAACTAGTGTTTTTTCATACATATTATCTATTTCCTGAAAGCAATACCTGATTTCTGTATTTATCCTCTATTCTCAATTCCTTGTAATCAACTTTTAGTTGATTTGGAGCATACGTATGAGGCACGTATTCAGATGGTGGTATTTTCCATAAGCCCTTGGTACCTTAGCTGTTTTCCTCTTACACAGAATCTATCTACTAAGAATCAGAAAGGGGAAACAGCTCTGTGGAGGATTCAAGTAACCTTAGACACCAAGGACAGTTGAAAGAGTTGATGCTAATAAACTTTGGAAGATATGATTCACATTGAAAAAGAGGCGTTCTCAATGGGCTGCTGGGGAGAAATGGAGTTACCTATTAGCAATTCAAAG